AGAATTCCCATTTATATCTTAAATATCATTAAAAATATAAGTGGGGTCTTTAAAAAGATCCCATTTATATCTTAAATATCTTTAAAAATATAAGTGGGGTCTTTAAAGAGATCCCATTTATATCTTAAATATCTTTCTATACCTCTTAGATGTAATGGGTTGACGAGGAAGAAGTTATCTTTAAATAGATCCAATTTAAAATCTTCATTATCTTTTTATTCGTCTTAGATGCAGTGGGTGGACAAGAAGGATCAGTCGTCTTTAAAGATATCCCATTTATATCCTAAATGTCTTTTTTATTCCTAGTAGATGCAATGGGGTGGGCGAGGAAGAGAGCTATCTTTAAATAGATTCCATTGATATCTTCATTATCTTTTTATTCCTCTTGGATGCGATGGAGAAACGAGGAAGAGAGACATCTTTAAATAGATCCCTTTGTATCTTAATTATCTTTTTATTCCTCGTAGATGCAATGAGTTGAAGAGGAAGACAGCTATCTTTAAAGAGATCCAATTGGTATCTTAGATATCTTTTTATTCCTCTTAGATGCAATGGCTTGACGATGAAGAGAGCTCTCTTTAAATAGATCCAATTTATCTTAATTATCTTTTTACTCCTCTTAGATGCAATGGATAAACGAGGAAAACATCCATCTTTAAAGAGATCCAATTTAAATCACTATCTTTTTCTTCCTCTTAGATGCAATGGGTGGACGAAAAGGGATCTTTAAATAGATCCAATTTATATCTTAAATATCTTTTTTTTTTTTCTTAGATGCAATGGCTTGACGAGGAAGAGAGTTATCTTTAAATAGATCCAATTTAAATCTTCATTATCTAATCATCCCTCTTAGATGCAATGTCTTTAAATAGATCCAATGTAAATCTTCCTTATCTTTTTCTTCCTCTTAGATGCAATGGGTGGACGAAAAGGGATCGGTCATCACCAAAGGGACCCAGTACCACAGGAGGGTGAGGCCAGACGGCAAACTCATCGACACCAACTTCACCTACACCTTCACGCCCACACGGCACCACAATGGGCGGACTCTTACCTGCCAGGTGTTTAGCCCAGCGCTGAACACCGCCCTGACGACCGAGGCTGTAATTAGGGTGAAATATCCCCCTTACGTGCAACTAGTTTTCTCGCCGAGTGAGTGTTATTATTATCATTTTCGTTTTTTTTTTTTTCGTTTTCTACCGTTTTTTTTATTTTTATTTATTTATTTATTTATTTATTTTTTTTTTTTTTTTTAAGGATGTGAGAAAGAGAGAGAAAAAAAATTGTCGTACGTTATGCTGAGGTTGTGATAATCGAAACTGCAGCACGATTCTGGTCATTGTTATTGTTCATAAGCGCCTAAAACCACAATCAAAGGGGTACTTATGAAACGGGGACATACCACTTGTGCTTCCCTCAAGAAAAGAAAAAGATCAGAAAAAATTCTATAACATGGACATAATGCATGTTCTTACACTTTCCCACATTCAAGTTAGAATTTTTCTCTCATTCTCTCTCTCTCTCTCTCTCTCTCTCTCTCTCTCTCTCTCCTCTCTCTCTCTCTCCTCTCTCTCTCTCTCTCTCTCTCTCTCTCTCTCTCTCTCTCTCTCTCTCTCTCTCTCTCTCTCTCTCTCTCTCTCTCTCTCTCCTCTCTCTCTCTCTCTCTCTCTCTCTCTCTCTCTCTTTCTCTTTCTCTCTCTCTCTCTCTGTTTATCTATCACTCTTCTTCCCACAGCCAATTTGTGGGTCTCCTTTCCCCTCATTTCCACATCTGATTTACTCTTTATCACTTAATTTTCTTTAGCTCAAGTAATTCTTTCACTTTCTCGCTCTTTCCCACAACTAAGTTGAATATCTCTTTCCTTTTCTCCCTTCCCCACAGCCAAATCGTTTTCTTTTCTCTTTCTCACTTTCTTACAGCCAGTTCATTTTTCCACAGCCAATTTATTTTCTTCTCTCTCTCTTTCCCACAATTTTGTCGGATATCTCTTTCCCTTTATACGTTTCCCACAGCCAATTAATTTTCCTTTTCCCTCTCCCTTTCCCACAACCAATTCAACTTTTTTCTCCCTTTCCCACAGTAAAATCTTTTTTTTTTCTCTCTCTCTCTCTCTCTCCCTTTCCCACAGGCAATTCATTTTTTTTCTCTCTCCCTTCCCCACAACCACATCATTTTCTTTTCTCTCTCCCTTTCCCACAGTAAATTTTCTTTTTTTCTCTCTCTCTCCCTTTCGTTTTCCTTTCTCCCACTTTCCCCACAGCCAATTCATTTTTTTTTCTCTCTCTCTCCTTCCCCCCAGCCAAGTTAAAGGAGGGAGAGGAGGCCTTCGTCACGTGCAAAGTGGACGCCAACCCCAACAACGTGACTTACCGCTGGTTTCGCGAGGGCAAGGAGGTGCTGGGCGTCGCGGGAGCCACCATGCCCTTGGGTGTCCTGTCGAGGAGTAACCAGTCGGCCACGATAGCCTGCGAGGTCACCAACGCCCTGGGCACGGCGAGGAAGACGGACCAGCTCAATATTCTTTGTAAGTGGTCGAGATTTTTTCTTTGTGTATGTCTGGCTGTCTGGTTGTCTGTCTGGCTGTCTCTCTCTCATGAGTGAATTAATGAGTACGTATATATGTGTGTGTGTGTGTGTGTGTGTGTGTGTGTGTGTGTGTGTGTGGTGTGTGTGGTGTGTGTGTTGTGTGTTGTGTTTGTGTGTGTGTGTGTGTTTGTGTGTGTGTGTGTGTGTGTGTGTGTGTTGTGTGTGTTGTGTGTGTGTGTGTGTGTGTGTGTGCGTGCGCGCGCGCGCGTACGCGCCTCCGTGCAAACGTTACACGTGCATACAGGCACTTCCATATTTTTTCCTTTTATCAACCTGCCTTTGTCGTAGTCATAAAACCATTGATGTCTCTCTCTCTCTATTTGCACTGAAGATCAATCCAAATCCACATTCCTTGACACGCCACATGACAGTCCCTCCTCATCCTCTCGCCCTCCATTCACGAGAAACGACTTCCTATTTACACTTCATATCGAAGTTGCATCGCCTCTCCTTGCCTTCCAGACCCGCCCATGTTCCTAGCGGAGCCCAGCAGCGTGTCGGGTGAGATCGGGAACATGGTGACGATGAAGTGTCGGGTGGACGCGAATCCCGTGGCCGAGATTTACTGGTCGAGGCTCCGGGACAACGAGGTGAGCGATGAGAGATGGTGAGGTGGATAGGTGATAGGAATTTAAAGGTCTGAGTCCTTTTTTCTCTCTCTGTCTGTTTGTCTCTCTCTCTTCTCTCTCTCTCTCTCTCTCTCATTTTTTTCTGTTTCTATCTCTCTCTCTCTCTCTTATTTTTTTTCTATCTCTTTTTGTTTCTCTCTCTCTCTCTCTCTCTCTCTCTCTCTCTCTCTCTCTCTCTCTCTCTCTCTCTCTCTCTCTCTCTCTCTCTCTCTCTCTCTCTTCTCTCCTCTCTCTCTCTCTTTTTTTCTATCTCTTTTGTTTCTCTCTCTCTCTCTCTCTCTTGTTTTTTTCTATCTCTTTTGTTTCTCTCTCTCTCTCTATCTCTTTTTGTTTCTCTCTCTCTCTCGTTTTTTTTATTCTCCCTATCTCTTTTGTTTCTCTCTCTCTCTCGTTTTTTTCTCCCTATCTCTCTCTCTCTCTCTCTCTCTCTCTTCTCTCTCTCTTCTTTCTCTCTCTCTCTCTCTCTCTCTCTCTCTCTCTCTCTCTCTCTCTCTCTCTCTCTCTCTCTCTCTCTCTCTCTCTCTCTCTCTCTCTCTCTCTCTCTCCCTCTCTCTCTCTCTCTCTCTCTCTCTCAGGACTGATTCATTCAGGACAAAAAATCTATTTTAAATCCTTCATTTAAACGTCCATGACTAATGAATCCTTCAGATCTAGTAAACCTTCAAGATTATCTTTCATGAATTTTGAAAACCTCTTTAAAGCACTACTGTTGCTTGGAATGTTACTTCAGCGGACAATTATTGCCATTACTACTACTACTAATAGTACTAATGATGATAACGATGATAAAGATAATGATATAATGATCATAATGATAGTAATAACAATGATGATAGGAAGAAGGATAATGATGATAGTCAAAATAAAAGTAATGATATTGACGATAATGATAATAAAGATAATTAAACGATACATGAAACACTCTTAAACTCTTTAAATCATTCAGACCATTAGACCAGAAAAAAGAATCCAGTTTCGCCTTCTAATCACCCCCCTCTCTCTCCCCTTCTTCCCCCCTCCCCTTCCGACCCTCCCTCTCCCCTTCCCCCTTCTCCCCCCCCCTCCTTCCGACCCCCCCCCCTCCGCCCCACAGCTGGTCGGCAAAGGCGAGGAACTGACCATCGAAGCCTCCAAAGCCACCGCGGGCGTGTACGTGTGCTCCGCCCGCAGCGAGACCTTCCCTCCCCTGGACGCCCAACTTCACCTGAGGCTCCGAGGCCCTCCGAGGATCAAGACGCCCGCGGTGTTGGTGGTGCGGGAGGGACAGAATGCGGTGTTGAGGTGCTCCGTGGTGTCCGTGCCCCACCCGGTGTCGCTCGCGTGGGAGAAGGGCGGCGTGAGTCTGAGTCCGGGTGAGTGATTTATTTTTTTTTATTTTTTTTTCTTTTTTTAGATTATTTTTTCTTTTTTTTCATTTTTTTTTTATTATTATTATTTTTTTGGTATGTGTGTGTGTGTCCGGGATTTTTTTTTTTTTTTGGGGGGGGGATTGGCAGGGGGGGGGAGGATGTTTTGAGGGGAGATGTGTGTTTTGGTGGGGAGTGTTTGGTTGTGTGTGTGTGTATGTTTAGCTTTCTATCCTGGTATATATTTGTTAAGCGCATGTCAGTGCTTGAATGCACACTGTTCTTTTCTCTATTACAACGCATCTAAACATAGTATCCAAACATATTACAAAAAACAACAAAACACACACTTCATAGCCCCCTCCCTTCAAGCCCCTCATAACCCCTTCACAGCCACCTATACCCCCTTCACAGCCCTTCATAGCCCCCTCCCTTCATACCCCCTTCACAGCCCCTTCATACCCCCTTCACACACCCCTTCACACCCCTCATAACCCCCTTCACAGCCCCTCATAACCCTTCATACCTCCCTTATACCCCCTTCACAGCCCTTCATACCCCCCTTCACAGCCCCTCATACCCCCCCTCATACCCCCTTCATACCCCCCTTCACAGCCCTCTTCACACCCCCTTCACACCCCCCTTCACCCCCCTTCATACCCCCTTCACAGCCCCTTCATACCCCCTTCACACCCTCCCCCTTCACCCCCCTTCACAGCCCCTCATAACCCCTTCACACCCCCCGTCACAGCCCTTCACACACCCCTTCACAGCCCTCCCTCCTCCTCCGCAGACGGCGACTGGGAAGTGAAGGAGGACCAGAGAGCTGACGGCGTCGTCTCCACGCTGACGATCTTCAACGTCTCGCAGGATGACTACGCGTCCTACAACTGCACGGTCATCAACGAGTACGGCGTCGGGACACAGCAGGTCATCCTCCAGAGACCACGTGAGTAGGAATTTGGTTTGGGGGGAAGGATGGGATTTTTTGGGGGGTGGGGGAGGGTGGGTGATGGAGGGGGGTGGGATGGGTGGCGTGGGTGATGGGGGATGGGTGGGGTGGGGGGTGGGAGGGAGAGAGGGTAGGAGGGGGGAGGGAGGGAGGGTGGGAGGAAGGAGGGAAGGGAGGGGTGGAGGGTATGAGGAAGGGTGGGGGAGGGGTTGAAGGAGGGTTCGAGGGAGAAGGGAAGGAGGGTTGATGAAAGGGAGAGAGGGAGGGAGGGAGAAATAGATTAATAGACGAAGGGAGGGAATGAATAAACACAGGAAGTAAAAAAAAAAACAAAAAAAAAACAGAAGTGACAAAAAAAAAAAAGACAACTCCACCAAGACCACGCCTCCCCTAACACCCCAACCCCTTCCCCCTCCTCCCCACAGCCCTCATCCCCTTCATGGTCATCGTCGGCGGCGGTGGCGGGTCGTGCTCGTCGTCATCCTCGTCATCTTCTTCATCTTGTGCGGATGCCGGCCGAAGGAGCGGAAGGAGAAGGCTGCCGACGCCCCCGAGAAAGGCGCCTTCGCCAACGGCATCAGCGGCAAGCACCACGAGAGCCAAGACGTCAACGGAGGAGGAGGCATCGAGCTCGCCAAGACGGAGAAGGTGCTGCCGAACCTCATCCCGGCGGACGCTCGCTCCACGGGCAAGGTGAGACTCGGGTTGAAGTGGAATGATAAGAAGGGTATAGAAGCGTATAATAATATATAATGATAAGAAAGGTGTAGAAGCGTCTGTTCTTTGTCTGTTCTGTATCTGTTCCTTCGCTTTATCACTCGGGTTGAAATAGACTAGTCGGAAGGGTGTAGAAGCGTCCTTTTAGCGTCTTTTTAGCGTCTGTTCTTTGTCTGTTCTGTATTTGTTCTGTATCTGTTCCTTCGCTTTATCACCCGGGTTGAAGTGGAATGATTAGAAGGGCGTAGAAGCGTCCTTTTAGCGTCTTTTTAGCGTCTGTTCTGTATCTGTTCCTTCGCTTTATCACTCGGGTTGAAAATAGACTAATCTTTTAGCGTCTGTTCTTTATCTGTTTCTTTGTCTGTTCCTTCGCTTTATCACTCGGTTGAAGTAGAATAATAAGGAGGGTGTAGAAGCGTCCTTTTTAGCGTCTTTTTCTGTTCTTTATCTGTTCTGTATCTGTTCCTTCGCTTTATCACTCGGGTTGAAATAGAATAACAAGAAGCGTCTTTTTAGCGTCTGTTCTTTATCTGTTCCTTCGCTTTATCACCCGGTTGAAGTAGACCAATTAGAAGGGTGTAGAAGCGTCTGTTCTTTGTCTGTTCTTTATCTGTTCTGTATCTGTTCCTTTCGCTTTATCACTCGGGTTGAAGTAGACCAATTAGAAGGGTGTAGAAGCGTCTGTTCTTTGTCTGTTCTGTATCTGTTCTGTATTGTTTTTTCGCTTTATCACTCGGGTTGAAATAGACTAGTCGGAAGGGTGTAGATGCGTCCTTTTAGTGCCTGTTCTTTGTCTGTTCTGTATCTGTTCCTTCGCTTTATCACCCGGGTTGAAATGGAATAACAAGAAGCGTCCTTTTAGCGTCTGTTCTTTGTCTGTTCTTTATCTGTTCTGTATCTGTTCCTTCGCTTTATCACTCGGGTTGAAGTAGACCAATTAGAAGGGTGGAGAAGCGTCTGTTCTTTGTCTGTTCTGTATCTGTTCTGTATTTGTTTTTTCGCTTTATCACTCGGGTTGAAATAGACTAGTCGGAAGGGTGTAGAAGCGTCCTTTTAGCGTCTGTTCTGTATCTGTTCTGTATCTGTTCCTTCGCTTTATCACTCGGGTTGAAATAGACTAGTCGGAAGGGTGTAGAAGCGTCCTTTTAGTGTCTGTTCTTTGTCTGTTCTGTATCTGTTCCTTCGCTTTATCACCCGGGTTGAAATAGAATAACAAGAAGCGTCCTTTTAGCGTCTGTTCTTTGTCTGTTCTTTATCTGTTCTGTATCTGTCCCTTCGATTTATTACCCGGTTTGAAGTGGAATAATTAGAAGGGTGTAGAAGAGTATTTTTAGCATCTGTTCTTCGTCTGTTCTGTATCTGTTCCTTCGCTTTATCACCCGGGTTGAAATAGAATAATCTTTTAGTATCTGTTATTTATCTGTTATGTATCTGTTCCTTGGCTTTATCACTCGGGTTGAAGTAAAATAATAAGAAGGGTGTAGAAGCGTCTGTTCTGTATCTGTTCCTTCGCTATATCACCCGGGTTGAAATAGACTAATCTTTTAGTATCTGTTATTTATCTGTTCTGTATCTGTTCCTTCGCTTTATCACTCGGGTTGGAATAGAATATTAAGAAAGATGTAGAAGAAACTGCTGTGTCCTTTTATCATCTGTTCTTTCTCTTAAGTATCTGTTCCTTCGCTTTATCTCCTGTTCTATCTCTCTTTATTCTCTTATATGTCTCTCTCGTTTCTTAAGCTGTGTTTTCTTCTCTTAAGCATGTTTCTTTTCTCCAAACATCCCTTCCTTCTCTCCTGCATCTATCCCTTCTCTTCAGCATCTCTCCTTTCTCTTATATATCTCTTCAACTTCTTTTCAAAAGTACTTATATCTCGCTAGATGATAATGAAAACTTAGCTGATTATCTCTTTCGTCTGTTATGTATCTCCCTCTCTTATCCATCTCCCCCTTCCCTCTCTTATCCACCTCCCCCTCCCCTCTCTTACCCGCCTCCCCTCCCCCTCTATTACCCACCTCCTCCTCCCCTCTCCTATCCACCTCCCCCTCCCCTCTCTATCCACCTCCCCTTCCCCTCTCTTATCCACTCCTCCCCCTCTCTTATCCACCTCCTCCCTCCCTCTATTAGCCACTCCCCCTCCCCTCTCCTATCCACCTCCCCTTCCCCTCTCCTATCCACCTCCCCCTCCCCCTCTCTTATCCACCTCCCCCTCCATTCTCTTATCCACCTCCTCCCTCCCTCTATTACCCTCCCCCTCCCCCTCCTATCACCTCCCCTTCCCCTCTCCTATCCACCTCCCCTCCCTCTCCTATCCACCTCCCCCTCCCCTCTCTTACCCACCTCTCCCTCCCCTTCTTCACTCACCCACTTACTCTCTTACTTACTTACTCTCTCTTACTTACTTACTTTACTTACCTCTTACTACTTCTTACTTACTTACTTACTTACTTACTACTCACTCACTTACTTACTTACTTACTTTACTCTCTTACTTACTGACTTACTTACTTACTTACTTACTTACTTACTCTCTTACTTACTCTCTTACTTACTCTTCTTACTTTACTTACTTAACTTACTTACTCTACTTTACTTTACTTACTTACTTACTTACTTACTTACTTACTTACTTACTACTTACTTACTTACTACTTACTTACTCTTACTTACTTACTTACTTACTTACTTACTTAACTTACTACTTTACTTACTCTCTACTTACTTACTTACTCTCTTACTTACTTACTTACTTACTTCTTACTTACTTACTTCTTACTTACTTACTTACTCTCTTACTTACTACTTTTACTTACTTACTTACTTACTCTCTTACTTACTTACTCTCTTACTTACTTACTTACTCTCTTACTTACTTACTTACTTACTTACTTACTTACTCTCTTACTTACTTACTTACTTACTTACCTTACTTACTTACTTACTTACTTACTTACTTACTTACTTACTTAATTAATTAATTAATTACTCTCTTACTCTCTTACTTACTTACTTACTTACTTACTCTCTTACTTACTTACTTACTTACTCTCTTACTTCCTCTCTCCCCACCAGGACTCGGACAACAAGGAAGAGAGGTCGAGAGCCAACTCGTCCCTGTCTGATGGCGAGCGAGAGTCCGACAGCGGCTGGGAGAAGAATAGCACTAATTGTTCGGGTAAACGGGTCTTAACCCCTTCATTGGGTCGTGCACACTACACCTCAGCGACCACAGTGTTCCCCCCTCCCGTAGGTTATCCGTGCATAGAGATATGTTTGTTTGTTTTTGTTTACTTTTTGTTTGTCTGTTTTTTTTTTCTCTCTTGTTTGTTGTGTTGTTTTTCTTTCGGTATCTTTTGTTTTTATTCCGCTTATTTCCTTATCTCTTTATCTTTTTCGTCTTGTACGTGTTTTTACTTTTATATTTCATCTTTATCTGTTTCGTCTTTTTACTTTTATATTTCATCTTGATCTTTGTCCTCTCTCTCTCTCTCTCTCTCTCTCTCTCTCTCTCTCTCTCTCTCTCTCTCTCTCTCTCTCTCTCTCTCTCTCTCTCTCTCTATCTATCTATCTATCTATCTATCTATCTATCTATCTATCTATCTCTATCTCTCTCTCTCTCTCTCTCTCTCTCTCTCTCTCTTCTCTTCTTTCAGTTTCTTATTTCTATATTTGTTTCTTCTTCTTTTCTTCTTCTTCTGCGTCTACTTGTTCAAATGTTAATATATCTACTCCTTTTATTTCTTGATTTATGTTGTTGTTGTTGTTGTAGATAACCATCTGTGTACTGTAGATTGTGTTAAGTCTTCTGAATGTCCCTTTTTAGGCTAAGAGAATTATACAAACCCTCCTTGTCTGTTGTCTAAAACCTCTGTATTATCTTTTAATGAACTAATATATCTATCTACCTGTTTTCTATCTGTCTATCTATCTATCTATCTGTCATCTATCTGTCTATCTATCTATCTATCTATCTATCTATCTATCTATCTATCTATCTATCTATCTATATTATGTATATATACGAACAGATAAATTTTCCTGTATTTCTCTTTCGATGCTTACTCTTACTCGCCCCCCCCCTCCTACTCCAAACACCTCTTAAAACACCAACAGAAACTCAAAATAGGTCTCCCTACCTTTTCTCTCTCTAGGATGACGACTACATGCCTTACGTGGACTACACCCGGGACTACCTCCGAGTCCCCGTGAGTCCCACTGACTCCAGCACCCACTTCCAGATCGGAGGTCCGTACAGCTGCTACACGCCGGCCAGCGACCAGCCCTCG